ATTATTACTAGCACCTTGATTATAATGATCTTAACTAATGTGCAAGTTAGACGTAAATTGTAAGTTCAATTTATTTGATAAGTAACGCGTTATATTGATACGAATACATTACACAGCGATTATTTAATGGCATTAATAATAGTGTTGTAACAGTAATAGCAACGTGTATCTATTATACTGTAACATTCAGTTGAGCATATAATTATTTTTATGTATTTAATTTTTGTATTATGTTTCTTAATTAGAAGATAAAGTATTTTTATATATATATAGTTTTATGTTATTAATACAACCCTATAGGGGTGTTTAGTAATACCAGAATGTAACAAATTCAGCAATTTTCAAATAATAAATTATTTATAGGCATAAGTATCAAAATCTTCTAAATGTTTTTCCCATTTGTTTATTTTTCTTAACTGTATGAACTCTATTTCAAACTATATTACTTAGTATAAATCATTAATAAAATAATATATATATATATGTGTATGTATGTATGTATGTATGTTAACATACAATAATAACAATAGTAGAGGGTAATCGAGAAAATTCAGCACTCCGTCCTTTATAAACTGATTTGGAAAATTCTTTCTTAATTTGAAACGCACATTTTTGGAATGGTTAAAACAGTCAGCAAAATCGGTTCAGTGGATTAAATTTAATTAAAATAACTAGTATTATCAAGATTAAAATCGGTGTTTATTTTTTGTTGAGGAAAAAGAAACTACTGCGAAATCTAAATTTGCTGCATAAATACGAAAATATTTCTATATAAAAGTATACCAATTCTAATACTAATCTAAGTAAGATGTCAGTATAACGCGTGAACTGAGATAAATTAAAATGGACTGATATTAACCGTACTCCTCGATTTCAATATATCTTCAGACGCAGCCAAGAGCTATATGAGTTAATAATAAAAAACTGAAATAATAAAGTTAAACGGACGGCATTCTCCGCCACTAAGAAGCTGTCGCGGTAGCTACTTACTAAAACATCCCAAGATTTTATACTTTGTTTTGCACCTTACATTCCACAATTCTTTAAGTTCACATAAAAAGTACGCTATTTAGTGCCTTTTTATTTTTTTAATTCGAGAGTGATATTTATTTAAGTATTCTAATTAACAACTGCTTCAGCCTTACATTACTCTTTTCTTAGCAGGTAATAGAGTTCAAATTTAAACAGAGTACAGTTTCATATAGAGTAAAAGCTTGATATTATTATAGAAACTATTAGTTAAGTACCGACAATCATGAGTATTATCATTGGTCTAGATGGAATTTTTAATTCATATAATTATAAATTAGAACTTAAACTTGATGGATCATTCCCAGCCAGGATTAGCCTTTTCCGGTCAAACCGGCATATAATTAGGCGCGTAAATTTTAGAGAGTGACACGATTTGGAACATAAAAGAGGAAGATTGGCTAGCCGCAACCGACCGACTATAGCCTACAGATTTTTCAGCCTGAAGCTAGTATAGAATATTAGGTAAAGACAGGGTCAGTTTGCCAGGAATGAGCGTCGAAGATTGGCTAGTGGTAGTCAGTCTTACCGTGGCTGTTGTTGTTTCTGACTAGTGTTTGTGACTTTAAGTTAGTTCTTAGGTGACTTCGACGTTTATAGTTTTTGTTCTGTCGATGAAATACTTTCGAATTCACTTTCTGTTTCTGGCAATTTAAATATTTTTCTTGTCTTCTGTTTAAGTTTACTTCGGTCTCTGGCTAGTTATCGCCATTTACATAATAAGTTATTATATATTTACTTGATGGAATAAATCTTCTCAAGTGAATATTAGACTTCCTATTTTCAATTTATTTGCTGTATAATTCATTTCTATGTAAAAAAGATGTGGTGCTTCTCTTTCTTACAATATGCCCATAGAAAAATTTTATACGGTTGACAGTTGCCTTTCCTTCCCTTTGTGGTTTTCTTGAGCTATTGATCATGTTGGCTAGTATTATACGGTCATTTATTAATTTTACTAGAGGTTTATAAAGATACTAGAGACCCGTCCGACGTCACACGGGTGCAATGCTGACACTAAATTTACCTACCTACTACAGAATGTCCTTATAAATAACGTTTATATCTTTTTTGTTATTAGACAATACAAGCATGATAAAGTGCTATAAGGCGAAGTGAGTGCGGTTCGACATACAATTATAGGCACGCGCCGCCGGCCGGGTTGGTGCCGCCGCACTGCTATATCCCTGCATTTTAAATCGGTAATATTTTCGGAAATTTTCATTTAAATTACATGCTGTAAAGGACAATATTGATCTATGTTAAATGTGCAATGTATTTAAGGTACTTAATTGAATAAAAATTAATACTGTATTGCTTAAAATCTCTTCTTAAATAAGCCATCTTTTTCCGTAAAATGTAAAGGATAAAAAATTGTTATTGTGGGTTATCCTTAAGAGATAGACAGATACCATGGCGGACTTTTTTGTTGACCTTTTTAAGATGTACAATATATAGTATATATAGTACATTATTTTAATTTATCTCGTGGGGTTCAGCTAATGTTTATTAACAACATTACATTAGAAACCTCTAAATTTATAAGTGTTTCTCTACAATATTATGCATGTATTATACATATCCTTCCTCTTGAATCACTCTATCTACTAAAAATCACTCGCTTTAAAATTCATTGCATAGTTTTAAAGATTTAAGCATACATAGGGACAGACAGACAGCGACTTTATTTTATACTATGTAGTGATGATGATGTAGTGATTTGTATAGTAAGCAGTAATTTTATATATAAATACTCTTTATTTCTGTTGAGTTAAATATTTTTATTTTTATTTTGACGTAATAAATTTATTAAATTTCTATTATATCCAGTTATATATAAAGGTTCACAAAATACGTACACTTATGTTTCTGTTATGTACTAATTTCTAACACAAAAAAGTTAATGGTAGGTTAAATAAACTTTTGTTTTTGTATTTGTTTCTGGTAATATCGCAAAAAAATACAGTGCATTTTTTTTAGACAAATCCGATATGATTTTATTAACAATAATTTATTCTGAATGGTTTAAGCTCGCTTGGTGAAAATCAGTCAACTCTTAGCAACAACGATCAAAGGCATCTAATTAACAAGTACCGCTATAACGTCGTATTTAAATGGTTTATTACGTTATTAAGCATATATTAAGCATAAGATATATCCAAAACCAAATGAAAACTAGATCATACGTGTCATCGCGAACTCCAATTAGTTATATTAAATTTTTTTTAAGTAGTTTTAAATCTGTGAAAGGCCGTAAAATGTTAACTGTGAAAAGAAATCTACAAATATAGATATATTTTTATTAATGCAATCTTGCAGTCCAGTCATTCCACTAAAAAACTAAATAATAATAGTTCAAAATATACACACATTATTAAGGCGTTTAAAATCAAAGGCAGTTAAATGCCATAAAATCGTAAAATGAGTTAACTGTGGCGCCATCTAGTTTAATTAGTTAAACACGCTTGGGTGTATTCAGTTTACTAACAAATGCAGTAAAATATTAAGCAAATTTAATTAAAAAACTAACATCGGTATCAAATACAGCTACATGCCAACCACTAAGAATCAAATATAGCTAAGAGTTATGCCCGCTAATCAGAGTTTTGGATCTTGGATTTAGCTGTCTTTGATTTTATATGCTTCAATTGTAGTATATTAATTCCAGAATATAATAGAATTTATGTAACGAATACAATGATTTTTATAAACAACTACAAACGAGTATTTGATAACAAATGAGCTATTAATTTAAACATCATGTCACCACGTATTTGTTTTAATTGATTCATTATATTATTTTCATTTAAACAGCGATGCAATATAATTAAATTACAACTTAATATTGGATGAAATGTGGTAACAATTTGATTAATATAGCTACAGATATTTTCGATATATATCTGTTAACTAAATATGCAGAGGTTATTACATAAAAATTAAAACAAGAAATAATAACACTAATAATATTATAATGTTTTTTAAATATAGGTAAATAATAATTTGTACCCAAATCGCTAATGTGATCCAGAATGTTTAAAATTTAAAATTCAAACTTAGCATGAAGATAGAAGACTGATAGTTATGTACATTTTAGAATAAAATCACTCATAAAATTGAATTTTTGTTTTATTAATCTGTTTGCATTCAAGTTTAAAGGAAGCTAATAAATTAACAACTTGATCTTTAAAATTTTTATAGAGGTTAATGATTATAAATAAGTTAATATTACTAATATATCATTCATGTAAGTTAATCTTACATTATTTAAACCATGCACGTACTTATTTTTCTTTTCTTTTAATATAAACTTATATAAGTGTGTATTTATATCAATCTGGGTATTTTCTATAAGAATATATAATATGAATGTATTCACGAATATAACATTTAAGTAATTTTATCCTTTGCTTAGTACCCTTAATACAATAAGCTCAGCTTTGTTTGGGATTAAATGACACAGTGTAATATGTTTAATGGTGTTTATTATTATAAAACACGTTTTTAATATTCTATATAGAATATACTGTTGGATATAATTATTTTCTGAAATTCATCACTACATGTAATTGAATTAAGTGTTAATTACAAATACTATTTGGTTGAAACTATTAATTTTGTATTATAATGATAAGTTTTTTTTAGTTTGTACTAGTTCTCTTTAATGTTATTGTAATTAAATGAAGGCTGTATGCAATAAGTAAAAATAATATGGGTGTATTTATTAAAAACGTTTTCATGTATAATTTATTGCATTATAAGTTATCAATTTTTTAGACTATCAATTTATTATTTTTTCTATTGTTATATTTAACTATCTTATTCTATGTTTCATTTCATTATTATTGTAATAGTAGTAATATATATATATATACATATATATATGAGTGATTTAAGTTAATTATTTATTATATTATTAAAAGAAAAAAACTAAAGTACATGAGACAGGTTAGTTTAAATAACAAACATAGTGATTTTTAAAATATAAATTTATTATCACATTTCATAAATAAGTATCTAAATCCTTAACTCTAAAATATAAATTAGAAATAATCTAAGCCGACACATTTTTGTATCTCTTACTCGTTATTCATGTTCAATGTTAAATCTAAACTTTCTCAGAATCATTAAACGTATTTGTTGTAATGTCAAAATGAAAAATATTATCAAATGTTGAAAATATAATTTGCATCTGATTATACCCAATCAAAGATTTACTCAGTGGTATCGAAACTTGATTCTGAAGACATAACGACTACATGAAAAAATACTGATTTAATGAGGATCGTGATGGCTTTCCAATTACTTATTTCTAATTGACCTTCTCTAAAACCCATTTGCCAGAGTATTGAGTCTCTAGCCTTTTAACTTTAGGGCGGAATCCATTTTCGTCAGCGGTATACTCCACTCTGTACATAAACCCATCAGGTCCGATGTACTCGTAGAAACCTTTTGAAGCTATACCCTCGTCAATTGTGTTGGGGTTCTTCAAAACAGCCTTCTCTTCAGCTCGAATCTTGTTTTCCGTCTCGAAACTGTTGAAAGAAATATTTTTGATTATTTTATTGCATGCAAATGGCATTGGTTTTGGCGTTAAGAATTATACAACAAGGTCATATGTAGGCGAAATTTATATGGAAGTTTTGGTTTTTATGATTTTTTAAATAATTATTCCAATTCTTTTGTTTTAAATAATGGTTACGTAATCCTGTGGCTATTTATCTATTTATAGCTTAATGTCTACAATGTCACAAATATACCTATATTCATACTTAATACAAAGTCGTAACAAAATAAATTATTACTTTTAAATATTCCTTATTGATGTTATTTTCTAGTAAAGAAATCAAATTCAGATCCAATTTATTCGTAACATTCATAATAAATATTGTGCTACAATATTTTTGTCAACAAAATAATTAAGACATTTCGTACTAAAATATTCACATTAGTTTTGCTTTTAATACCAACAGCCTGTTATAAGTGTAATATAGCACATAAAATGTCAAATTGGTCAACTAAATGAATATAAATCGTTTTGAACTCTGACCTACATGTAAGGAATCGATGTAATCGGTCAAGGTCCAAGATATTTGTATTGGCGAATTAATATGTTTCGGTGTTATTTTATACTCAAGGACATTAAACAGCTGAGTTTCACAGCTGATATATATTATTAACAAAATGTATCTTTAAAATAATATGTAAATATGTTTAATTAATTCCAAAAACTAAACTTTCGGTTACTTTTACCATATTTATTTTTTAATAATACATTGTTTTTGTCGTGATTTTTTGATGTAACTTAAGTAAAATACGATATTATTTAAAGTACTTAAAGTGATTTTTTTTTATTATAAAATTATTATATTTGATAACTTAAGGTTTTGCTCTGCAAAACATCCAATAAAGCGAAGGTATCTCATAACATATAAACAAAAAAAGAATAGGCGGATCGAAAACCTTCTTTCTGCATGTTGGTACCTTATAAATCTTGTCACAAATGAACTGGTAGCTTTTGTGTAGAACAAGTTTTTAAATTGTTACAAATATTTTTTCTTTTAATTATAGTAATAAAAACAATGCAGTGATAAAATACCTAAACGTAAGTGTACCATTAGAATTATCGGGGACTTTATAACTTTTAATAACTCTTTGAATTTAAAATGAATAAAATTTATATCAGAGAACTGTAATAAAGGTTCTTGAATGTAAATTTCTACGATAAGATATTCAACAAAGCAAGGCTAACCGTAGTAACAGACAGGAAATTTATATTAGAAGCCACATAAGTACATATTTATTATTGAATCTTTAACGCGAACACAATATAAAAATAAATTTCAAGTTTCTACTCGAAACAAACAAATACTTAGTTGGACATAAATAATTAGATCTTCATTGAATTAATACGATTATCCGGTACTTCTTATTGATTCTACTAATGTATTTATTATAAATGAAAATACTAAAAAAAAATAACTACTACATGTAGTTGTATACCACAAAAAATAAAATAAAAGTACTTTAGAACATGAAGAATAAAATTGAACTTAAACAGGTATAATCGCATAAGTTTTTGCATTGCTTACTTCAGTCTAAAATAATATATTATTTTCATGACTTCATATAATATAGGTGCGAGTATAATATTAAGTCGTGATTTGGATCCTAAATCGTGAGGTTGTCAATTCCATAAATAAATGTTGATATTATTGACAGATGAACATAGACTATGGAAGTTTCGTAGCATTGAAAGCGTGACTTTCCATGCCTTTTTGCAATTCCTAAATTGAACAAGGTTCAATTTTTTTTAACGAATATAAATGTTGTATGTCTAATTGCAAATATAACATTTATTTAGTTATACGAAACAGTAAATTTGAAAAAAAAAATACAAAAAATTGTTTAGACTAACCTATCATGATCAATTACACTGGCAATAGAGATATAAAAATAGAAGTCTTATTTCAGGTATGTTAGGTTTTCTTTGTCAAAACCACGAGTCTGGATCCTAGCCTGAACATAGATGGCATCATCTTACACCATTACCATATCGACTTGCATCTACATGGTCAAGTTGTAAATCCACACTGAGAATTTTAACCGCATGGATTTGATTCCACGTATTCCGAATGAGTTTTGCGCGGTTTTTTCCCGCGGTGCGTGTAACGGCTACATATAATTTCCATTACGTTACTGAATTGTGGTGAAAATTTATAGTATAGGCAGAGATTGTATATTTTACTAATAAAATATATTCTCTGGTGTGGATTATTTCTGACAGTTGACTGGACCATTTTGCCGAGCACTCTCAAACTCAAGAAAGATGGTATAATAATAGAATACAGCATCGTATTACAGCCAGGAATAGGAATGGTATTTTTTTTAACCTATGCTTTAAAAATATAAGGTTTAATCTGTTATAGTTTTTTATATTAAACTCTGGGATAATGATCCTTTTTAAATGATTTTTATTATTCTTTTTTTTTATATCTACATAGAACTAGAAACTTAGTTTCCAAACATACAGAATAGTTTGCATTACCATTTACGGCATGTTAATTTTTTTTTATATTTGAAGTAGTTTCTAAGCGTAGAGAAAAAATAAAAACCTACGTACAAATAACAAGCGATTTGAGTTCTTCTATAAAAATAAGAATTCAAATTGCCTATAAGTATGTAGATATATATGTATGTTCGGCAATATCATTGCCAATTCTGAAACGATTTTGGTAATCTGTTCTTACAGTCGACAGGAATTTTAGCTATTAGCTTGTATTGCTTGCATTTCTTGTATTTTTGTCGTTACTGTTTAAGACAACTTGACCATAAAGTAGTTTTGTATTTTTTTATTTTAAGTATGGCAACAATAAAAAAAAAATATCATTAACAACTTTCACTATGCCTCTTTCTGCTTCTAACCATAGTATGTAATAGCAGTTAACTACCTGCTAAAATTATTTTGAATAAAACTGGAGTTAACTTATACTACTACTAATACTTGAAGTATTTCGCTGGGTAATTTATCCAATTACCACTGGTTATGATTAAATTACTTTTATAACAAAATACTTACTCGAAATCGTATTTGTCCTCGTTGTAGTTGTGGTTTTGTCTAATGATCTTGATACCATTGTTCTTGTAATATCCATCTTTATAGAAAGGCAGTAACTCATCAGGTGGTGTAAGCACATGCCTGTACTGGTCTACTGTTGCTTCTCCAACGTACGGCTCGTAGTCATGCGTGTAAGGCCCGTAGCCTCCATCGTAAGGGTTGTCAACGTGGATGTACGGATTCGGCACATGAACGTATTTTCCTTCATTTGACGGGATGTATCTATAAATAAATAAGTCATTATTTTTACTTAGACAATGTAGCAATAGAAGGAAGTATAAATATCTAGATATAGCGTAGAGTATAGAAAACTTTTAAAATACGATCAACTAACAGTTGGCATGTATTTTTTAATGTAATAGCGCGCTTTATAACAACATCTATTAATTGTAATATTTTTATATCCTCGTTCACGCATGTGCTATTAAATTACATATCTATATGTAGTTCATGTCAGGAATTGACTCGCACAATAAGAAAACGTTAATATTTTATTGTTTTTTACGAAGCGTTTTAGAGAAACACTCTTCTAAATATCAATGATATAGTATTAGTTTCTAAAATTGATTACCTTTATCAAGTGGTCGTGTGTTAATTGATTCATCATCATATCAACCATTAACCATCTCAACATAGGCCTCCCCCTGATTGAGGGCTTTTGCCAAAATTTACCAAAATTGTATACGTTATAATTTCATAATTTTAAATTGCAAATATAGTATTTCAGAAAATAGGTAAAACAGAACTTCGCAAACAAATTACAAAATAAATTATATTATAGTTTCTAATTTAATTAGAAAAGTATATTATACTATAATAAATAATTTTGTATTCCACCTTATTTTGTACAAAGTCGATAACAAAAATTGTTAATTTAAATAAGGACACACTGGTATCTAAAATCTATTAAGATCATTTGCTAAATGCGCTTAAAGTTTAAAAAGTACTCATAATAATATAATAATTAATATTCCAAGATAATTATTCGTTTTAAAATATACTAGCTATACATAAAGTCACAAAAGTAAGATCACGATGCTGATTAAATAAATTATTCGACTAATGTTAGAGATGAGAAAGTTTGTAAATGGCTAAAAGGATTAAAATGAACTTTGGTATACGCATAGGTTATATCCTAACTTATACGTAGGATACTTTATATACTGATTCACGAGAATAAATCGGGCAAAGCGCGAATATCTAGTGATTAATAATATTAAACTGGCGTTTCAGAGATTTTGAGCTTTAAGTTAGACATACCAATTTAATATAGATACAATAGATGCATGAATAAGTTGCACCGACAAGAGGAAACTCTTAAATGAAAAGAAAGAAAAGATTTAATGTTCTATTAAATAATTAAAAAATAAGTATATACTCATAGATGTCAAATTGAAACATATATTATTTAAATATAGCATTTGGTTGGTGCATGAACTCCCCGCATGACCCGCAAACATTTAATTTTTCGAGAGAGAATCTACCATCATTGCTCTGAATAGTCTTTTAGAATCTTGTGCAAAATTCGAACTCAAAACTATTGAATTATTTTAGGGACGAAGTGGTTAAAAATAAGCTATATAGCCTTTTTTCGTCCTTAGCTAAATGTTTTTATAAACATTTTGTTTAATTTTGAAATAAAATTATAATCCCTTTGTAACAGTATATGTTAGAGTTAGTCTACACTAAGAACACTTATTTACGTGTAAAAGTTTTAGTGTTATCAATTCAGTTAATACTAAATCTTACTAATTAATACAAAACTTAAGATCTTTTTTGAAGCAACAGTTTTTATGGTTGTCAATTATATTAGCTTCAGTACTATCATAGCTACAGCGTGTTTTAATTTACCATTTACCGCCTTATATGATATTATTGGTCTTGCCTTAAAAAAAGCTTCGTTTTAGCATCAGGAATTTTTTCAATATGATGCTTGAAAAGGGTTCTTATACATTATTATAATTTATGATATTTTTTATTCCTTGTATGGTATAATTTTGCTTCTATACTTAGTTTTTTGATACAGTTTTTCACTGTATAATATACATAAATAAACATAATACCAAATTATTATATTATAAAAAACACAATGAATGCTAATAATATTTAGTCCACCTATTTATTATTTTTTGCTCTTTTATGTATTGGTAAATAAAATTTCAATAAATTATTTATGGTTAGAGGCTATATTTTTTATTATATATAGATTACGAGTAGTATGTGTTTAATTTACTATAGTTACTTACTTGCCCGTATCACCGAATTTATAGGGGTGCCATTTGCCATCTTCACTCGGTGAACCTACGACAGCTACCGCGCATACGGTTACGATGCACTATTTGAAACAAAAGTATCATTAAACACAAATTTCTGTATCTGTATAATTTTATTCATTGTCAATAAAATAATATATATAAATAATATATATATATATATATATATATATATATATATATATATATATATTTAATTTCTCTTTTGCTAAAAACAATATGATCCCTACATGTTAATTTAAAAATAAAATAAAATAATATAAAATTTATCAATATCAATACATACAGCGAAATAAAGCATCCTGGCAACACTGTGTAAAAGATCTATGAAAAAAATTGTAACTCGCCGAACGTTACAGTTCAATTCACTTCACTCGAATCGGACGCGATCACTATGCGGAAATAATTTCGCGATGGCACTTATGTCCGTGTGCACTCCTTAGAGGATTTCAAATCGTTGTGTTCATTTCGAAATCAACGCTTCGTTTTTATATGCTTGCAACATCAACACATCTCTTGTGCGGGACACGCGTCTCGTGCGTCACATACACTCAAACATATACAAATATACGCATTTTTTAGCATCTTTGCATGCCATTGTCCGTTCAAAATATTTGGGTATCGGTGTCACATCTAAAAGATTCAGTTCTATAATCACTCATCTTAACTGTAAAACGGTATTATATCCTGAAACTTAGCTTTGAGTGAATAATAATATTAAACCTAATGTCCGTTATAGGATTATTCGTAGTCTTGTTGTACCTTCTCGTTGTTATCGTGGTATGAAGCAGGACAATGTCCTGTCATAAAAGCAGATCAAACTGGATCCTCTCGCTTGACCGGGACCTTACTGGGAATCTTAAAAAGCAAATAAAATATATATGTGCGTAAAATATGTTTCTAAAGGAACGTGAAAGAAACCTATACACATGTACCATACATCAATCTGAACTGTTTTCTTTTAATTTGAGTTGTATTCCAGTAATTTTCGAAGAATATATAATTAAATATAAATATTATTTTTAAGAGAAATGTCCAAAGTACAATCACCTCGTTCGGTATTCCTAGCTATGTTGTTATTAAATTTGACAATTTTTTTTTATATTTAGCATAAAATGTTAATATTTAGTATGGGCATTCATTAATGGAATTTCCTATAAGTTACTATTAGTTTTATTGAATTTTGAAAGTTTGAAATTGCAGTGCATGTATTCTCTATTACATATGGTATAGAACAAAAGCTTTAAAGACATGTTAATTTGTATTCATAGATAATTTTAAATAGAGATTTATATTAATAGAATTACTCAAACATATTTTTGAGTAATTCTATTAATTTAATTTATTAATGTATATTGTAATAATATTTAGATTTTACTTGCGACCTCGTCCGCCTGACTGAGATAGGTTAGTCGATTGGTACAAAAGGTAAAACAAAAAGAACTATGTTACCTGCTCCATCCCAACTAGCACCAGTAGATACAAAATTTTATAACAATTGCTTTCCAAAAAATAAGCAATGGAAAGTAAAGTCATTTTTACATTTTTAGTTAACTTAAAAAAAAGGAAGAGTTTCTCAATTCAGTGGTGTTTTTTTTTATGTGTGTTGCCTAATAACTCCATCAGATTACAAAATACAAAGAAGAAGGTTCTAAATTCGGTTTTATTTTTTAAGTTTGTTACCTCATAACTCCGTTAGTTATAAACTCATTTAGAAAATTATTATATTAACTAAAAGAATGTACTTTTAGATTGGTTTTGCAGAAATTTTATCAAAATCGATTCAGTAGTATAGATTTTGCCAAAATTAAAGTCGTTTTTTCTTTGTGAAACACAATCTTAAATTATATTTTAAAATAATTATTAGTAATTATAATATTCGTAATCATTGTTGATACGATGTTAGTAAAGATAAACGTTAATATTCTTATAAACTGAGAGAATAGGTATTTGATATTAAATCCTTTTTATCTACCTTTATAAGGTAACTGTGTGAAGATAAACACTCGTATATAGATTCATATGAATGTTTGTTTTATTCTTTTCTGAAGTCCAATTTCGTTTAGTCATCATAATTTTTTAGAATATAATAATTTCTTTTGAATCTTTATAATTAATTTTATCCTTTTACTGCGGTTACACATCATTTATATTATATACGATTCCAACATGAGATTCGTATAAAAATATCACATTTGATTGTTAAAGAAGTTGATTTAATATCAAATATGACGGAGCCATTTGTAAAGAAAAATGTTTTAAAATTAGTCATACATTATCCTGGCTGTAATATCACTATGTATTAGGTACATATAGTGAATCTTTATTATTATAAATATATATGTCATTAAGTATTATGTTGCTATATACCATCGACTTTTTAATAAAATAAAAAACTAACATAAGTTTTATCTATTCCTATACATTATAATTAATAATTTAATCCTCACTTTGAAACTTTTTATAAGGTTGGTCGAGAGAACTTAATGCAAACTGAATATATATTTAAGTTTTTTTTGTATGTTCCATTTTCACTATTTGTTTTAGTCATATTTACTGGAAACTTAATTTTTCCTTATACAATGTGTGAATATATTTATTAAGAACCGGATGCACTCACCGTTTTTATGTAAATTACGATTTTAATTTTTTTAATCATAAATTAATTTAGGAGATGATCTACCTGTATTTTATTTTACTATTTATTATATAACTTTAAAACCCTATTAGGGATTATAGTTGAGAGCATATTTTTATTCTTACAAATTTTCACATTTATAATATTATTAGTAAAATATTAATAATCTTAATTTAATAATATATTATTTTAACCTTTACTGGCCTATTTGTATAGATATAGTAACGTGGCGACATTAAATAGAACTAGATAATAAAATATATTTCTTAATACCATACAAATATTCATTACTTGCTTGATTCATGCAATATCTACGTAAGATTGTAGTCATGCACAACTCATTTCGTAGAAACAATTCACATTATAAACGCATATGACTTGCTTTTGTCTGCATTTTTCATTAAATTATAAAACTGCAGCATAGTGTCTTATATTTTTGTATTTTACAAAATTGATTTGGATGTACATTTCATGAGATATAAAAATATTCAGTTTTAAATAGCCATGCATAACCTATCAATATATAGGTGATTGAAACTATTATTAAGTCATTCATTCATTCATATCAGTTATCCACTGCTGAAAAGAGGCCACACTTAAAAGTTTTTGCCAATAGTTGCCTGGCAGATTGGCAACTGCTGATGTTCTAAGAGGGAAGCTACTGGTCCTTCATGGACTATGGAATTCCATTTGTCGCCTCTTACGATATCTACGGGAAAGAAAGGGGTAGCTCTTTTATGCCGAAGCTATACGGTAAAGCACAAAGGGTTTTATTAAGTAATACACTATAAAATATAAATATATCACAACATACAGCAAAAAGTTCGACTTTCAGGAACGCAACTAAGAACACCACATGAGAGCTGAACACACGACATTAGTTTTTCATCCCTCGTTACTTAAAGAAAATGATAATTTTTATCGGAAGAACAATTATGGCAATGATTTTGATTCCACTCTGTAATAGTAATTATTTAGAACTTCACTAAATTTAATACACACCGAGGCAACAGCTGTCGCAACTCTGTTATTTGGAGAAGTTGAAGGGTAAGTAATGAAAACAATTACTTGCAAATTCCCTGCCTACATTTCTGAATTCAATCGCCTCAAATATAATTACCAAATGCCTGCAAACTGTCACAAGTACAACCGACTAAAAGTCCTTCGTAAATAAATAAGCAATTTATTTTTTGTGTATTATCTACAGTGTGTACAGTATGTACAACATACTGAATTAACCTATATTTATAGCCCATAAAAATATATTTGGTTTGCTAACGAAATCAGATTTTTCTATTCATTTACTGTATTATAAAAGATACAGTTAATTAATATTTCCATTAGACTACTCTATATTTATTCGTGATATAAAGAAAACTAAAGATTTATATTATACTCGTAAAGTACGAAAATTTAACTCCGGATTATTTATAGCGTAACTCTTTGCTAATTCACTATTTCACTTATATTAATTTAATTTATTTATTTTATTATTATTTTAAATCCAATGACATTGCATTGCTGAAAACAGAAGTATGAAATAAAATATACTACTACATGACCATGCTGGTGGATTGGTACAATATTTTATTTCAAATTTTTTTAGTGCAAAAGAAGGAAAACTTGCATTATGCAATATACTTTTTGTAAGGGTGACTAGATGGCTAGTTGTCTTCTGCGAATTTAAAAGAGACCATATTGTATTTTTACTTCGTCACCACACAGAAATTATTCAGTATAATACAAATTCTAAATAATATCTATCTAAAATTCACAAGAAAAGAAGTTATTCGTATTGGGGGAGTTCCGAATGCAAACGTGACCATTAGAGCATCGGTCATCAAAAATGCGTGATGACATTACCTTATGTTATTTAGTTCCTGGAACTTAAATAAGAATTCTATAATTTGGCGCCATTGGGCTATGGAATTATTGCCTTATAATTCCGTAGCGAATTAATAACACGGATACCTTATAATGTCGTCATGTTTATCGGTATGGATGTATTTGCGTCACAGCATCATAATTTTTGTCATTAAGACACATTATACAAAAATGTAAAAGTGTGACACAAAGAATGTTTACACGATTACATCAAATATTTAGAACAGTTATTTTTATTTAATTTTTATAAAGTAAATAGGAAAGAAATCAATGATAGCTAAACCATAAAAGCCGATCATGACATAGTTAATCATATTAAAAAAAAAATCTTTGCAAATTTTAAATAAGGGTATTACCTTGTCAGTACTTCATTAAAACAGTTTATATTAGAGGCCTTTGTTGATTAATCTTATTTTACTAGTATAATTAAATTATAACTAGACGATGACTTTTCATGAATCCTTTCAATGAATTGATGGAAGATTTTATAGGAGCAGTAGTAACAAAAATTTCGAAATTTTACCCGTCTGTCTGTTTACCTGCATGTTTGTTCCGGTATCGTGCAAAAAATTGAAGATCTAACTTAAAAACTGGTGTATGTTTTATTTTAATACGCTATCTAAAAGTCGTGTATCTCATTTGTTTCCCTACTTTTGAAATTTGCGCTTACGAAATATTGGGCAAAACATTGGTGTATAATATATTATTAAAAAAAAAATAATAGTAATAAAGATGACGATATCAGTCGTTAACTGTCCACTGCTCAATATAATATCCTCCCCCTTGAGCGTTTTATCAGTAGTTGTCACGCTTGATGGCGGATTGGTAATCGTAGTTAGGCTTTGGTAATGTTTTAAGAGGAAGGACGCTGCTGCACATACCTCGACCACTAAGTTCCCTTAGTCGCCTCTTACGACACCCATGGGAATGAAAGAGGTAGCCAATTCTTTGTC